TCGCGCTTGAAGTGGTTGCCAGCCGCGTGATCCGTGATCATACGGTCGCTGGCCACCTGTATGTCCGCCAGGTGATGGAGCATGGCCTTGTATCGGATCGTTACCATGGTTGCCATAATTATCTCCCATCGTTGTCACTGCTGTGATGCAGCAGTGTGGTCAGTTTGTGTACTCTGGGCTCGTGGCTTGCGCAGTGCTCAGCCCGTGATGTTGCTGGGAGGAAGTCTTGTGCTTGCATTGTAGATCGAATGTCGCTCCTTTCTGTTCCTCCCTCCCTCCCTTTTTTATTCTTCTTCGTTCTATTGTCCTCGTCGTCCTCCTCCTCCTCCTCTCCTCCTCTTCCTCCTCCTCCCTCACTCCTCCTCCCTTCTCCTGTCGCCACTTCTTCGATTCAAAGCTTGGAGCCGCCCAGCCACCTCCTCTCTTTCAAACTCCCCTCCTCAGAGTGTTCCCTACGCCGCAGATAAGTGGGCGCGCTGAACCCCGACAGGACCAGCAAGGAACCTCACGTCGTCGGCCTCTTCTTGGCCAGAGGTAGCTCATATCCACATTCCGCTCCGCCCAGGGACGTGGATCAACTCATAGCAGCGCTGGTGTGAGGTTTTCGTTGGTGTATCGGTAGTTCGGACAGAGGCTGAGCTTACCAGGCAGCTCGCAACGCCACTGCTTTGGACATACTGCCTCCAGAAGCCTTTTACCAGTTCAATCAGGCCGACACGCTGCAGCAGGCAAATTACGTAAGGTTCTCATTGCTTTGGCCGCTGGCTCATCTGCCAGTGTTTCACCGCGCCTTGTAGTCACAGTCTCCAGGAGGGGGAAAAAACACACAGACAGAATTAATCGTCAATTCCCCAGAAAATATGGAAAATATGGGAAGTGGGGGAAGACAGAAACCCAGAACATATGGGAAATTATGGGGAAGCTGGTCATTTGTGCATATTTATTTGTGTGTCCCAGTTCCACTTCAAGTCTTCTCCTGCAGGCCCACCAGCTCTTCATGCCTCCCTCTGCAGATGCCTTTCGAGCTGGCTCTTCCTCGCGCCGTGTGCTGTGCCAGCTGCCCGGGCTGCACTTCCTTCCACAGGCATCGCTCTTGGCTGGCACGCGACCTGCAGGCCGTGCCTGCTGCCGCTCGCAGGGCCGCTATTCTCTGCCCTTCTCTGCCCTCTGTCTTCCTCCTCCTCCTCCTCCTCCTCCTCCTCCTCCTCCTCCTCCTCCCTCCCCCCACCCCCCCCTCCCTCCCTCCCTCCCTCTCTCCTCCCTTCCCTCCCTCCCCTCACTCTGCCCTTTTCTGCCCTCCTCTGTCTTCTTCCTCCTCCTCCGCTTTCTCCTCCTCCTCCTCCTCCTCCGCGGGGCCGGTGGCGTTGCGCTTTGATGCCTCTCGAGGGCGCGGCATGCGAGGCAGCGTCGTGGCTTCTCGCCTGGGTCGCCGAGGTTGCCATCGCCGTCGAGGACGCCTGAGCTCAGGGGCGCTGGAAAGTTGGTGCCCCGACGGTGCCACCGTGGGGGTGCAGATTTTCCAGCCGCCCTAGAACAGGCCGTCCCCGATGGCGGAAGAGTTTGTGTCGTACCGTTCTTCGTCCGCCCATCCCACCTGCATCATGATTTTTTTTCGGGCGTACAGTCGGGGCCCTGAAGAAGGAACCCTTTTCGTTGGGGAGGGGCTCGGTGTTCCTTGATTGTTCTGCAGTTTTCCCTTTGTTTCCCTTAGGTTATCGATAGGAAATCGATAGGAATCGAAAGGGGCCTCGTTCCTTATTTAGGGTTCCTTAGATCAACGCCCCGACTGTAGGTCTGAAATGCTTGTGTCTTTCTGGCGCGCCTGCCTGCGCCACCACGGCCAGGGATGAGGCTCCGCGCTCCCTTTGCGCTTCGCTCTTCCTTTTCCTCCCCTCCTCCCTCCCAGCCCCCATTCGCTGCTTTCGCCAGGGATTCTTTCAGACGGGAGGGACAATCAAGCCTCGGAAGCCCCGCTCCCCCAAAGACTGCCTGTATAGCTCTCGGCTGTGCTGCGACGTCGGCTGCACTACACTGCCTCTGCTGTGCTTCTGTGCCCACGCTAGGCTGGCGCTGTCGTCGTTCCTACTTGGCGGCCCGTTAGTGGGTCAGGGCCTGAGCTTTCACCCCTCCAAGAGGGAAGGTCTCGCGCTCTTTCGCGCCCGCGACAGCATGCACGTCTATGGCTGGCGTCTGGGTAGGTTGGCATGCCTGCGTTGGCCTGACATGGGGCCAACATGCTCCCTCCTCCCCCGTCTCTTTTCACTCCTCTTTTTCCTCCTGCTTCTCCTCGTCCCCTTCCTCTCCTCTGTTGGCCAGCCATGAGCAACAGGCATGGCAAGCGCGCTCTGCCGACCTCAGGATGAGCCGTGGCTCATCGTGCTCCGTGTCATCAAGGCGAGCGAGGAGGAAGGGGATGATTGGGTGGGAGGATTGGGTGGGAGGAGGAAGGATGATGATTCTGATTGTTGACCGTGCTTCGCGTGATCGGCTTCGCTTGATT